CGTATGCACGTCCTTGATCACAAGAGCACACCATTCACCTTTTATGCCTAGCTCGATGTTGGCCTTGAGAATCACATGATCAGCAATGATGTGATCTCCAAACGCTTTCGTCTCGAGCCTTCCCTGCCCGCCTTTCGATCTTGCATATGGGGCAAGCATCTTGGCACGTTGGCAAGTGCGGCAAAAGGGATTCTTCGGATAGTGTGCAAACAAGTGCTCTTTGGTACCTGCTTCAGCAACCAGATCTTGCTCTTTGCGGGATCTCACAAACCGCTCAACTTCGTCGTCGGGATCATCACCTTCGTCGATGCCTTCGTCATGAACTGGCGCAGGCGCTGGCTTTGATGCTGCTACTGCACTCAACGATGGCTCAGCTTCACAACTAGAGTCCATGTATGGCACATGACCGTCAACCTTGAGCTGGATCAGAGCACCGTCAGGGCGAACCATGGTTGGTGCCTTCCCGGATTCCCAATGAAAGGAATATCCTTGATCCAGACACTTCACACCCAGCGACAGCACTGCGGGAGAACTCTCGAGGATGTAAGGCTGAGCAGGCTCACACAATGCATCGACATTGATGTCGGCGATTTCGGAAGCAGTAATGTTTCCGTTTGCAGTCACAAGGCGAATAGGCTGAGGTGCCTGTTTCCGAATTGCCTTGGACGCATTCCTCAGTGCAGCTTTGCTGATGAGGTCCTGCTCACTACCGGAATCAATAAGCCACACGTCCTTTCCCTTTGGTGCAGGGGTGGCTGCCCTTGGCGCTTCGACATCCTTGCGAACATCGTGAGGCGGCATGGCAATTCTCAGGCACTCATCACATGACAGGCTTGAGATGGAATCGGATTCCACATCGCACATGAAACCACAAGCGGGCTGGGCTCCATTCTCAATGGCTTTGATTACGGCATTCAACTGGTTCGCGGCCTTGCGTGCTGCCTTGTTTGTCCCTTTGGTCGGCCTGGGGCAGTCCTTGGCATTTGGAAACATCCTGTTGTACTGCCGTTCCTCATATTCAAGCTTGAAACCATCGCCTTCGGCGGGGATCTCATGCACATGAGCATTGGTGTCGAACGACACCCCAATCGGATTGATCGGCTTTGCAAACATGGCGTACCTAGTGCAGACTGCAGCGGCTTTGGCCTTTGGCTTAGGCTTAGGTGAATTTGCACGCTTCTTGGCCGCAGGATTTGCGTTGGCCTCGTTGCTCGATGCCGCGGCGGCAGATTTGCCGCCCGTGGAGGCATGGCTAAACTTGCATTTGTCACCTCTAGTGCACTTCCCTTGCGCAAAGAAAGAACACGGTGCTTTCTCTCCTTTACCGCCTTTGGGGGAACTTGGCCTGCCACGGGTCGCGGAGCGTCCCCGCGGCTCCTTGCGGTGCGCGTAAGGGCAGTTTGCCCCCCTCGTGCACGAGCCCTTCTGGAAGTCAAAGCAGTACTTTTCCTCGGTGTCCTTCGGCTTAGGTGCGCTCTTTTTCTTGGGGTCCCTCTTTTCAGGGGCGGCAGCACCAGCCTTGGGCGTCGGGGCTTTACTGGCATTGTCTTTGGACACGCGCTCTCGGTTCTCGCGAAGCCTATCCCTCTCGATTAGATCCCTCATGCAACGCATTAGGAAATCGTACGATTTGTTGGGATCATCATCACGGCAACGATCATATGCGTCAATGTCGTACCGCAACAGATGGCAGCTTCTCACTTGGCGAAGCAAGATGTCTTTCAACACCTTTTCTTCCGGCGGCCTTTTCATGCCGGCGATCACGGAATCCCAAGCGTTTAGGAAACGTTTGAGATCAATGATTCCTTCGCCGTGTCGCGAGACACGCAACAGGTCCTCCAAGGAGTAGAGGTTTCCGGCTTCTTCACTGGTATTGAAATATTGGTCAAACATAAACAAGACCTGCCTTCCTCTCATGGCCTTTCCCTCCTTGGCACATTCTTCCTTTGCTGTTAGGATTCGCTGAGCCAGATCGCCCTTCGCTGAACGCGTGAGCGCTGCGAGAATCTTCGTGTCTAGGGTCACGAATTTTCCCGGTTCGCCGAGCTCCTCCAACAGCTTCTTCTTGTCCTCGCGATCGGACCAGACTTCCATGATCCAAGGCCAAGCCTCGTCTGGACGGTCAGATGCAGCGCGGACGTCCTCACGAACCGATGTTTTCCACTCACGGTACGTTTCAGGAGTTGGCATCTCCTTGAATCGCAACGTCTCGCTTTCGCGGGTTCTGGGCTTTTCATCGTTCGTGTGGCCTTTTACCAACTTCATCAACATTTTGGCGAATGCTTCTTGGCCGAGGTTAGGCCCGAGGCCGCCACCTTCGTCTTCATCGCCATCGCCATCGCCACCATCATCAGGTGGCGGACCGCCGGGAGGCTTACCACCCTGCTTGCGGTCATTTGACATTGGCCCCTGAGAGAATTGCAGGGGCGGGACCGGTGTACATGTTTTCACCGGGGATCGGCTGCTACCTGATGGCTTTTCAGCTGGTCCTTGCGGATCGCGAGCATCTGCGGGCAGTGCATCGCATTCGGCAGTTGGAATCACGCTAGGGGTATATTCTTCCCCGTAACCGTCATAGGTAACAAGCGACCTCAACTTTTCCTTTGCATATTGAAACGGATGGGACAACGGGTCCAACATTGACCTTTGGGACCGAGCTGACTTCATGTCGTCGGTCATCAACTCTGGTGAATCCTCTCGGGTATCGCCTACCCCTTTGGGCTTCGATCCATCCTCGCGGAGGTCGTGCTGCTTCTGATACTTCTTCAGCTCATCGAGCTCGTCCTGCAGAAGCCCGTTTTGGTGGGCCATCATGTCACTCGTCCTGGCGTTCTTCGCTTCGACACGGGCTGTGTCATCGGCGTGCTTAGCAGCTTGCTCATGAAGGAGCTGCTGGGCTTCCGCCAGGGTGGATTCGATGGCTTGCCTAAACTCAGTTGTTTTGTGTCTCATTTCCGCTTCATGCAATGCTTGGGCATTTTCCTCACACACTTGGCTTATCCTAGCTTCAGCGAAGTTCACTTCTTGCATGAACTCATCGCTCACTCGCTGTTCGTATTCACGAATTCTATGCGACTGGGCTTGCACACATTCAGCGTAGGGTGCATGCAGCTGATTCTGTGCGACACGGAGCTCCTCACGGTTTTCCGCTTGCAGATGCGCGACAGCTGCTTGATGCAGGGCTTCGGCTTCAGACCTAATGGCTGCATCATTCCCAAAAGCAAAGATTGCGGCATTGTACAGTTGAAGGGAATTCATCAGGGTGCGGTTGTACTGCGCATTAGCGCTTGGTGCGAACATTCGCCCACCGCCGCCGGTGGCGTTGTCGGAGCTAGCTCCGGCAGCATCCACAGGCATGCTGGATCCATCAACTGGCACAAGGGAACCGTCCATAGCTTAGAGCTAGGGGCCTACGGCTGATAACCTATAGATTCAAGGGTTACCGGTTTGGGGCCCAAAAGGAAACAACAAACCGTCCAAGTGCGCTGCTCGCACATTTTCACGCTTGAACAGCCACACTGCGGATGCAATGGATGTAAAACCCCATACTGACCGATCAAATTCTTCAATGCCCATGCAGTGCCAAAAACTCCTTCGCTTCCTCCTCCGTCAAGTCGCCAACCCAAATGTCTTCCTGTCTTTCAGTTCCACCAGCATCGAAAGCCAGCGCCACTGCTGCCGAGGAGGCTGATACAATCACCTTGGACAAAGGATAATTGGACGGAACTACATTCACTCAACATGGTTTTGTTTGAAGCCTTTGAATTTAGCATTGAAGCTGGGGGGCATGAATGGCACTTCCGATTTTGTCCGTCGCCACATCCTTCGCAGTAGAAGAGATTAAGTTGATGCCTCGGCGAGCGGAACGGAAACAAACAGACTAGGGCAAAATGCGTTACAGCATCGCTAGAAAACTGAAAAAACATATTTTGTCCAGCCAGTCCTTCGGTGGTTGTACGAGGGACTTCAAGAAGAAGGATTGGAAACTTGGTGAGGTTGTTGGGGAAGTCCTTGAGCTTCTCGGGCACTCGCCGCATGACCTCTTTGAACAGCCCTTCGTCATCTACTCCCAGTTGCTTGCACATCCGATCTGCCCAATCGGCACTTCTGATGGTGAATCGAACAACACCTCGCACCCCGCGCAAGGCTTCTTCTGTTGCCACAGACTTTCCTGACTGGTACCGACCCCCAATGATGGTCGCATGTTGTTGCCAGCTCGCAATGCGTTGCCGGAGAGTTTCCATCACTGGCCTTTGGATGACCTCGTCTTGCGGCCTGCTGGGTTCAAAAGGCTCCATGGTCTTTGCCAGCGCTTCTTGGATTTTGCCTTCTGGAGAGGCTTTGAACGCCGCCACCAATTGCCCAAATGCGAAGGCTGCACTTGCCACGCTAATGAAGAAGTCGCGGTTTCGCCCAACGTCGTCAACGAATTGTTGAAAATCCCTTCCCGACGTGTCAGAGGCATAGGCTGGGGCTGCCATGATGCATGAGCCAACCACATGCCCAATGCCGCGTGCCCCAAGGCGTGGTGGGCATCTCACTGGAACCGCCTCCAAATGACATAGCCATCTGCAAGACGAAAACATGAAACATCAAACTGGCCTTTTCTTACGCACAAACGCATAACCACAGGAGTTAGGAACCAAGTTGACATGATTTTCATGTCCTTGACCTGTGGTGGTGGCACGAAGGCTCCCATCAACTTCACCAGACTGAAGCCACCAACCAGCACCATCCATGGCTTGACACGCTTTTGGTGCCTTTGGTTCATCGGGTTCATGGCTACAACAAGGAGTGTGCCAACACCACTCCATGCACTTTTACTCCATAATATTTCTTAGTATTGTAAACATTATTTTACACATTGTCTAGGTTGGCTGAGTGTTGCTGGTGTTTTGTTGTAGGCTTCTGTGCTGAATCTATGCACATGCTTCTGTACAAGTATGCCGTTGGGGTGTTAATGACGTTGATGTGATGGTTTCTTGCTAGGTTGTTTGTGGTGTTTGGTGTACATGTTGCTGTGGGAGATGGGGCGGGGTATAGTATTGAACTGGGGGTTGAGGCTCTTTCTGGTCTTTCAGAAGTCATGATCCTCGCGAACCTCATGTCACGACTCACCTGGCCAAAAAAAACAGCAGCCAAGCTGCAAAGACTCCAAGGTCCATGTCGGGTTTCATTGCGCGCGAAGCTTCAGGATCTGCTTCGTGGACAATGCCTTGATTAAAGCCACGAGTTGGGGGACACAACTCGCAGCCCTTCTTTTTCATCTTCAAGAGAAAAAAGGAAAAAGGGAAAAACAAATCAAACAGAAGCACACCCGTTTTCGGAAATGTTGAAGTGCAGGTGCATAGATTTGGATCAGCATGCCTGAATCGTCTTCTGACCTATTTGCGAATATCCTTGAATGGGATTAAAAATGCACCATCTCACATAGCTGCCACTATGCATGCGTTGCGTGTATGGGGCTGGAAAACATGCACAAGCAAGACAGCGAAGGAGCTGAAGTCTTCCGACCATTTTCGCAAAAGATCGGTCATGGATTTGCCAGTTGCGCTTCAGCGGCTTTCTTATGCAATGTGGAAGCAAAAAAGAAGCGCTTCTTGATAGGGTGAAAATACACAGCAGGACAACTCTTGTTGCGAATTAGTTCGGCAACCTCCCTTGGAAGGATGCGGATGCCATTTACAACATTCAAAATACCTGCCGGATAAGCCGTCAGGAGCTCTTTCACCATCTCGCGCCCCGTGACCTTGGGGTGCACTTGAAGCTCCATGAAGCCTCGCACTTCATCATCGCAACTCGCTGACATTCTTGCTTCGTGTCGTCCAATGACATTCCTTTCCTTAGTTCAACAGATACACAACACATATCCCTGAGAGGTTTTGAACGCCGAAAAAGTAAATCATCATTCGTTCAAGCCAGGCGCTTCAGATTCTCACAGGCCTTCGCCAAGTCGCCAATCCGGAAGCCACCTGAAATGAACTCAAAGTCCCCCCCGAAAAAACGCTTGAACGCAGCAAGCACACCTTCATCAATCAACATGTTGTTGTATTGAGCTGAAGCACAAGCATCCACGAAGTCTTCCCACTTGTTCTCATGCCCATGCAGTGCCAAAAACTCCTTCGCTTCCTCCTCCGTCAAGTCAGCAACCCAAATGTCTTCCTGTCTTTCAGTTCCACCAGCATCGAAAGCCAGCGCCACTGCCGCCGAGGAGGCTGATACAATCACCTTGGACAAAGGATAATTGGACGTAACTACATTCACTCAACATGGTTTTGTTTGAAGCCTTTGAATTTAGCATTGAAGCCGGGGGGCATGAATGGCACTTCCGATTTTGTCCGTCGCCACATCCTTCGCAGTAGAAGAGATTAAGTTGATGCCTCGGCAAGCGGAACGGAAACAAAAAGACTAGGGCAAAATGCGTTACAGCATCGCTAGAAAACTGAAAAACATATTTTGTCCAGCCAGTCCTTCGGTGGTTGTACGAGGGACTTCAAGAAGAAGGATTGGAAACTTGGTGAGGTTGTTGGGGAAGTCCTTGAGCTTCTCGCGCACTCGCCGCATGACCTCTTTGAACAGCCCTTCGTCATCTACTCCCAGTTGCTTGCACATCCGATCTGCCCAATCGGCACTTCTGATGGTGAATCGAACAACACCTCGCACCCCGCGCAAGGCTTCTTCTGTTGCCACCGACTTGCCGGACTGATAGCGACCCCCAATGATGGTCGCATGTTGTTGCCAGCTCTCAATGCGTTTCCGGATAGTTTCCATCACTGGCCTTTGGATGACCTCGTCTTGCAGCCTGCTGGGTTCAAAAAGCTCCATGGCCTTTGCCAGCGCTTCTTGGATTTTGCCTTCTGGAGAGGCTTTGAATGCCTCGTCCGCCGAGCGCTTTGCTTGATCCAATTGAGCCACTGCAACTGCAGTCCCCGCCACTGAAAGAGTGGCGCTGGCCAAGGCGGCGAAGAAGTCCTTCTTTCCCGCAAACTCTTCAACGAATTGTTGAAAATCCAGCCCCGACGTGTCAGAGGCATAGGCTGGGGCTGCCATGATGCATGAGCCAACCACATGCCCAACGCTGCATGCCCCAAGGCGTGGTGGGCATCTCACTGGAACCACCTCCAAATGACGTAGCCATCTGCAAGACCAAAACATAAACATCAAAATGTCTTTATCTGAAACACAAAGGGTGTGGTCATCTGAGCACAAAAGTTGGGAACCAACTTGACATGTTCAAGTCCTTGACCTGTGGTGGTGGCACAAACGCTCCCATCAACTTCATCAGACTGAAGTCACCAACCAGCACCATCCATGGCTTGACACGCACTTGGTGCCTTCGGTTCATCGGGTTCATGGCTGCTGATGTGATGGTTTGTTGTTAGGTGTCTTTTGTGGTGTTTTGTGTACATGTTGCTGTGGGAGCTGGGGCGGGGTATAGTATTGAACTGGGGGTTGGGGCTCTTTCTGGTCTTTCAGAAATCATGATCCTCGCGAACCTCATGTCACGACTCATGCACCTGGCAAAAAAAAACAGCAGCCAAGCCGCAAAGACTCCAAGGTCCATGTCGGGTTTCATTGAAGCTGTGCGAAACTTCAGGATCGACACCCGATTTCGGAAATGTTGAAGTGCAGGTGCATAGATTTGGATCAGCATGCCTGAATCGTCTTCTGACCTATTTGCGAATATCCTTGAATGGGATTTCAAAATACACCATCTCACATAGCTGCCACTATGCATGCGTTGCGTGTATGGGGCTGAAAAACATGCACAAGCAAGACAGCGAAGGAGCTGAAGTCTTCCGACCATTTTCGCAAAAGATCGGTCATGGATTTGCCAGTTGCGCTTCAGCGGCTTCCTTATGCAATTTGGAAGCAAAAAAGAAGCGCTTCTTGATAGGGTGAAAATACACTGCATGACAACTCTTGTTGCGAATTAGTTCGGCAAGCTCCCGAGGGAGGATGCGAATGCTGTTGAAAACCTCTGGCATGCCTTCAGGATAAACTTTGAGGAGCTCTTGCGACATCTGGCGTCCGTTGAGCTTAGGATGAACCTGCAACTCCATGAAGCCCACAGCTTCTGCTGTAGCAAATCGCCGATACTCTTGCTTCGTGTCGTTCAATGATATTCCCTTCCTTGGCTTTCAAGAACACGCACAACAAAAACAAATACGAGGTTCAAACACCGAAAAAGTAAATCATCATCCGTTCAAGCCAGGCGCTTCAGATTCTCACAGGCCTTCACCAAGTCGCCAATCCGCAAGCCACCTGAAATGAACTCTGGTCAAAGTCCGCCCAACAAAAAATCGAATGCGGCAAAGACACCTTAATCAATCAACATGTTGCGTCAACGGGGGGGGGTTGCCGCAGTTTCACAAGGGTTCATTCTGGAAAACACACTTTACAGTGTTTTCAAGGGTTCGTAGTTTGCAACGGACGTTTTGGGGTGTGAAACAGAGCTTTTTAAAGAAGTGCTTCACCAACTTGGACTGGATGCAAGCTTGAAAAGAAGCGGCGGAAGTTGCGGCGCGCGGCAACCCCCCCCCCGTTGAGCCAACATGTTGTTGTATTGAGCTGAAGCACAAGCATCCACGAAGTCTTCCCACTTGTTCTCATGCCCATGCAGTGCCAAAAACTCCTTCGTTTCTTCCTCCGTCAAGTCAGCAACCCAAATGTCTTCCTGTCTTTCAGTTCCACCAGCATCGAAAGCCAGCGCCACTGCCGCCGAGGAGGCTGATACAATCACCTTGGACCAAGGATAAATAGACGTAACTACAGTCCCCGCAAAACGTTTTCTGTTTGAACCATTGGAACTTAGTCTTTCAGCTGGAGAGCATGTATGGCACAGCCGATTTTGTCCGTCGCCACATCCTTCGCTGTAGAAGAGACTCGGTCGATGCCTCGCCCATAGGAACCGGAACAAAATGACTCGGGTCAAATGCATTACAATATTTGAAAAAAAAACTGCTGTCCACTCAGTCCTTCAATGGTTGTACGAGGGATGTCGAGGAGGAGAACGGGATACTTGGTGAGGTTGTCGGGAAAGTCCTTGAGCTTCTCGCCCACTCGGCGCATCATCTCTTTGAACAGACCACTGTTCTCCACTTTAAGTTCCTCGAACATCATCCTCTTCCAATCGGCGCTCTCGATGCTGAATCGCACAACACCTCGCACCCCGCGCAAGGCTTCTTCTGTTGCCACCGACTTGCCGGACTGATAGCGACCCCCAATGATGGTCGCATGTTGTTGCCAGCTCTCAATGCGTTTCCGGATAGTTCCCATCACTGGCCTTTGGATGACCTCGTCTTGCGGCCTGCTGGGCTCAAAAGGTTTCATGGCCTTTGCCACTGCTGCTCGGATTTTGCCCTCGGAAGAGGCTTTGAATGCCCGCACTGCCTGTGTTGTCGCTACAACAAGACCCGAAGCAGAAACAATGACTTGCCAGACCCTCACATCCAAAGCTCTGCAATGGGTCGAGCGTGGGCGCAAATCCTCTTTCACCTCGAGGGCAAAGATTGAGGAGTGAAAAATATACAATGCAATATAAAACCAAAAATATGCAAGAATGTTTTTTATGTCTGACCAAGTAGAAAAAGTTACCAAACAGCAAAGTTTCAATGCTAGACCCAATAAATTGAGGACGCTCAATGAGGCCCCGCAGTCTCGCTGATGCCACCTGCGGATGAAAGAGAAACAAACTACGCACTTTGCATGAATCCATTCAAGACACACCAAATTTAAAACATGTTTTATAACAGAATAATAAACGCAACCGTGTCTTGAAACTGCATGTCCATCGCCAACCTGCGGTGGTGGCACAAAGGCCCCCATCAACTTCACCAAAACAAAGACCAGCGCCATCCATGTCTTGATACGCACTTGGTGCCTCCGCTTCATGGCAAAACTATCCCCACACTCAAGTCCCGACTGCAGAAGAGCTCACATTATTCTAAGCTCAGGGCGTGATTTTGGTAAACTTGGTGTCTGATCTTGATTTTGGACGAAATCAAAAACATATTGCACAAGTCTTTGGAAATTCTGCACGCGTGCGTCGAAGGAGATTATGAGAGTACGTGAGGGCATCTAGCAAAGGAAAGGCTTAAAGGACAATGATATCAGGCAACGATATTTGAGGATCGCTGCAAATCCCATTCGCCTTGCATTCGGCCTTGCAAGAGAACTGCCTCGCAAGTTGATAGTGAAGGCCAGTCACTGAGAACACATTTGTTGCATGAACATGTCTAGCGCCCATTGCCCTGTGTCGCCACACTCTCACCCAAACAGCTTTGGTCTGTGTGGTGCCTGACAAGTGTCCTCTTCGTTGAAAAGACCCGATGTTGTTTCTTCAAGGCTAAGCCCTACGCAACAGACCTATCATCAGGATTGCGCAGTGTTCGACTAACACCACCTGCCTCGTGTCCTCGTGTGGGCGGCGCCTCATCGAGAATGAGATAGCCACACGTGTAAAGGCTCATGATGCTGGGGCTCCAACCACCAAGCTCATCGCGCATCTGGGTGGCATCTGCGCTCACCACTCCCTCATGAGCTCAACAGAAACATCTTGCCGCTTTTTGAACTCTGTTGTCACTGTCCTATTCAAGTGTTGACGGGCGAGGTGTTCTGACCACAGGAAGTGCTCAGCGCGCTTGCCGTCTTGCTGGGGCGCAATGGCGCGCGGGCCACTCAGGTTGTCGATCTCCCTGTCGCCCTCCTCTGCTCGGGTGACAATAATGAGCTGGCGTCCGCGTTCAAAAGCTTGCCGGGTGAGCTCAATCAATGCATTGCCGTCACCCTGCAGCCCACCATCGAAAGCATTGTCGAAGAAAATGCGCGTGCCAATGCCATGACTTGCAAGCTGTCTGAAAAAACGAGCGCGCAACTTTGAGTGCAAGGGATGTGTCTGAAACCCGGAAAAACTTTGAGGCTCTGTCCAAGCTCTCCCTGCAGTACCACCATCACGCAGGACTCGCTTGCGTTGGTTTTCAACACAGACTTCTGAAAAGCTCTGCGGCTTCTGCGGCAACTTCTCGCTTATTTTTTCCGACGCAAAATGCGGAACGCATGGCTTTTATCCGCACATAAGCTGTTGTTCCAGTCTTTCGTATAATATGTTGTGAATCACGCGCCGCGTGATCAGGTGTACACTCAGGCGCCGTGGCCCCTGGCCCAAATCACCCCACAGCGAGTGGGTTGCTTCGCCCACTGGCTACGCATGGCATTGAAAAGGTGCGCTCGCTTTGGTTCTCTACCTTGTCTTCAGCCTGGGGCCTCGTGGGCCCTGGCAACGAAATGATATTGGCAGAGGAGTCGGCATCCAGACTGCGGGTCACTTTGGCATCCTCAGCAGAACCGGCAGTACGGCAACCTCCCGGACAGCGACCTAGGTATCTTCATGGCATCTTCCTCCCCTTCACAAGGAGCCTCCCGTCCACGGATGTGGCCACTACAAGGGATAGCTGCGTTCCCCTGTTCAGTGGTCAACCCAATGACTGCCGGGAGCGGCGGAAGAGGATAGCTTTGTACCACAAGAAGATGGTGGTACCGAAGAAAGAGAAATAGGCGGTCTGTGGAGGCGGTCTACAACCTCCTTGGCCGGAAAGTGGTGGAACAGCTGGAGGGACGCCCAGATCGAGGCCGATGACGCCTTCGAGAAGATCCTGAAGTTGCTGGACCGATCCTTCCAGCACGTGTGGAGCTGACGTCTGACTCTGATGGCTACTTCAACCAGGTTCGAGCACGACGAGGCCCTGCGCAAGGTTGCCAAGCACGGTGTTGACCTCCCCTCCAGAATTGTTGGCTGGAGTAGTAAGGAAAGAAGGCTTATAGTCCCCTATTAACTTTCGGTTTTTGGTCTCCAAACCCTGCAAAACAGCCAAATTTCGTCCAAAAAACGCTTGTCACCAGCGATGTCACCGCTTCGTCACCGCTCCGTTTTTGGAGCAAAAAGCGCTGAAAACGGCGAACTCCGAAAAGTGCGTTTTTCGTGTCCGGCGTCAAATGTGCTGCCTGGGCCTCCAAATTCGCTCGTTTTCCGCCGAAAACCGGCTCCAGGTGTTCGCCGTGCTCCGAAATCCGTTTTTTACCCCGAAAAGCCTGCGAATTCCAGCCCGCTGAGCTTGTCACCGCCGATGTCACCGGTCTCTAACACGTCAGCCTGCCGAGGTACACCACCTCTGTCGCCGGTGTCTAACACGGCAGCCCGCCGAGGTTCTCCCACATAACACGTCAGCCAGCCGAGGTTCTCCCACATGACACGGCAGCCCGCTGAACTTGTCACCGCCGATGTCACCAGCCCGCCGAGGTACCGGGAGGAATCGAACCTCCGAAACGTCGCTCCGGAGACCAACGCCTAAGCCATCTC